ATATATTTGTAACTATGTAATAATCTCAAAATCCTTAATATGATACAACACTATATTCTTCAGAAACTCGCAGAATTGAGGCTCGTGAATACTAAAGTAGAGATAATTACCAATTCAAAAATGTGTCGGTAATAATAAATAAGCATATATTGTGAAAGATTATTTACCAATGCCAAAAATCCAATAATTACTTGACGAAATCCAAAGAATTCTTGACAAACACTTAAACCGATAAGCTGGTACAAGAGGAGCATCTCTTATCAACAAAATGTTTTACACAGTTGAGAGTTTTCAAAATGTTTTGCGTTTAGGTTAATGGTAATACAAAAGGGAATAGTCAATTAAGTTATTATGTAGTTGTGCTGAATTGGCTGTCATTTTAGGTTATGTTTATCTTTTTATCCTTTGACCGTAGGTAAAAACATAAATTAAGCAAGAGAAAAATATATGGTTTGTTATAGTTTTATACAAGTCTATTATTTATTTCATTTTAAATAATAATTGAGGCCATGTTTGTTTTGTTGATTCAAATTACAACTCACTTTTTTGTTACAGTATTTTCTCTTATAAAAATTTAAATTCGACGTTTTCTATTACAGTGTTTTCTCTCACATAAATTCCCTTTTTAACTCTTTTTTTTTTACTTAAACGAGCGAAAGGAACGAGGCCTGAATGTTATTGTAGCCTTTAGTTTTCTCTTTATTAATTGAATATTAATTGTCTATTTTTAAGTTGAGTAAATAAATATTAGTTTTTACTATCTTAAGTGGTATTTTTAGTTTTTTCCCGTTAAGTTATTACATAGTTATTTATCATTTTTCAACGCTAAAATAACATATGAAATCTTCCTCATGCAATTCAAACTAATACCGTGATGAACATATGTACTGTCTATTAATTTTTTTAATAAACTATGTCTTGACAAATCATTGTGAGCGACAAAAAAATGTAAGTTTTTTTGGAGGAATGCTAAATATAGACTCTAGCTTAATCTTTTGAGTACATGTCTCATCTCTATTTTCTGAAATAAACTAAATTAATAATAAGTTATTCTTTTTACGCTTATTTACAAGGATACTATTACTCTCTTTTACCTCCTAAATCTAACGATTTTAAGCAAATATATATATATATATATATTTTTTTTTTTTCTTGAGAGAAGAATGTTGGATTATTTTTTATGTGGACTTCTATAATCATAATAATTCACTCTATTATTAAATAAAGTATATTATAGACAACTTTGTTAATGTCAAATAGTTAATGCATACATGTCAAATATTGGTCCATGATGGGATGAACACTTAGTTTATTGACTAGTTTGAGGCCTATAAACTCCTTATTCTGTAAGTATTTTGGTCAGCCTATTGAGCCAAAGAACCTTTCTATCACAATTTGTGAAGCCCAATAGGCCCATTTAACTTAGGCCCATATGGTTTAAAGAGGGAAGAAAGAGGGAAATAGGCCAATAAATTAAAATTAATAGGCTAATAATTTACATAAGTTAATAAATATGCCAAATTACTGGTTTTGTCTATAACGTATCTGGTTATGAACCATAACTTGACAAGTTATTGTCTATAATTTATGGTTTTTGTCCATAATTTGTCTGGCTATGAACCATAACTTGACAAATTTGTCCATAACTTATCTGGTTATGAACCATAACTTGACAAGTTATGGCCTATTAATTTTTATAACTAAAAATTGACCTATATACTTTCCTAAGCTTTTCATATTGACCTATTTTTTACTATTTCCATTTAAAGAGTTATGCACATCTAATTATAGGTGAGTGAGTGCTAAAGGGTGTGGCATTTTTGTGTGTGATGGATGTGTGTGGAGAGGTTATTGGAATGGAGACTTCATTACTCTCAAGTCCGTTTCACCGGCGAGTTTCAACGGCTTAACGGCGATGCCAACGCTTCCGACAAGTAACCTATGAAACTAGTGTTTCTCATATGTCTTAGACACTGAATAGGAGTGAATAATTTTCAACAAAGAAGACAAAAACAACTCTTTAAGTATATATATTTCTCCAGCTTTTGTCTTCTAACGATTTTATACATTTTAATAGAAGGAAAAAAGAAAAGAAAAATCTTGACAAGAACACGAAGGAAAGGGAAATATGCTTGTTTGAAAGTGTGATTTATGAAAATTTCAATATAGTTGAATTGTTGAATTGTTTGAGTTCACGATTACCTATAATATGAGGAGAGAGAGAGAGAGAGATTCAATACATAATCGGATACTAATTAAGAATTCTATAAAAAATGACATATATATATATACATATATATTAGCGAAACTAATATATATAAGCCGGAAATAAAAATCAACTTGCAAAAAATTGTATTGTTGATGTTTTTAGTTTTGGAACGTTTTTTTTTTTTTTTTCTTAAGTAGTCCTTTCTAAAATATGTTTGCTGATCATGCTTGTCTTTTAAGTTGTTCCACTTTTTTTCATGAATTAAGTAAACAAAATCTTCTTGTTTGCAAATTTATTAAACAAAAACTTTATGTAGTTATCAATGGTCAAGTCAAGATCGGTGTTGTGGCTAAGCCGGTATACCAAACAAACTTACCACATTCTGTACCAAGGTTGGACCGATAGGGCAGATTTGATGCAGAGGATCAGGACGATAGGCGTACCTAAGGAGGTTTTGACACAAAGAAAAACTTTTTTTGTTTTGCATAAAATAATTAGAGAGCGTAAACGTTACTAAATCGACCAACAATGTGAATAGTGTATTACAAAGACTATTGTCCCTTCTATTATTACATTATTGTCAAGCTGCATGCCTTTTTTAATTATTTTTACCTTGTTTACTTATGACTATTCTATGGTTATGAATTTACCATTTGCTTCCTTATAATTTAATCATATTCCTTTTGCCATATTATGTGCTATTTCAAACTTTTGTCGTTTAAAATATTCTCTTCTTCTGGAAAGAGGTTGTGATGACGTTTCTATTATCGGAGACAGATCTATGGGATCATGAGAAGTAGACATGGCGTGGCCCTATAAATTTCGAAGTGCTTGAAGCATTTGGTATCAACACTAGTTTCTTCTCTTTTGTTCTTTTTTTGCTTGGTTGTTTCAGTAAACAATATTCATAATTTCATATGGAGCTCAAAATCTCTCACTCTTCCCCTAGAGTACCAACTATTATTATCTGTCGACCTTGCAATGCCTCCTATCATGTCAATAAATTGATTCCAAATAAGCCCACAACCAAAGATATTAGATCTTCCAACTTTCCTTTGAAATGCTCCACCAATAAATTATTGATCCGGTCAATAGGTCTCCATTGGGAGAGCAGGTTCCCAAAATCCTTATTATTCGGCCAACATAAGCGTAATACCATCCGGGTATACTTTATTTCTTTGCAACTTTGTTATATGTGGTGTTCACATTTAGAATAGAAATAATGCAAAAGTTCTGAATTATTATCCTCTTGTATTGATCAAGTATTGTTTACTTCCCTTTTACTTCATATAGGATCCCTTGAACAACTCTTATTTTGACTCCCTAGGGACATGGGACAAAAGATAGAAAAATATATAAAAAAAGGACTCTTTACTGTGAAGCAAGCTATTATACTCTACAGATCTAGAGACTGTATTTTTCTGTGAGATTAATTTTTCAACTGTCAGATCTGCAGCAGGAGCAGTTATGTGTTGCGTGCTATAAATTTTTAATGTGGACTACACATATTCGACCGTTCAAAAACTAATCCAATAATGAAAAATAAAATTATCTCCATTGATGGAGCAAAATAGCTTACTCCACCATAAAAATTTTCACAAACAATAGAGTAAATAACTTAAAATTAAATAGAAGATTTTAAAATTATTTTAAATAAATAATAGTTTACGTGGTAAATGAATCCTTTATCGCGTAAATGGTTCATTTACCGCTAGTGAAAACATTTTCACCTAAATTGTCTTTTTACGACTGGTATAAAGAATTTTTTCCATGTAAATAAAGCTTTTTTAGATTTTTTTATCACGTAAATTATTTTTTACCAATCGTAAATGAGTCATTTATATTTATTTACCATGTAAATATCTATTTACTTCAAATAAGTTTAAAATTTGATATTAACTTAATTTAATTTTAAAAATCTGCTATTTACTACAATTTACTTTGTCTGTCTTTTCACGAAAATGGTCCAATTTTTTTACTAGGAAACAAATAGATAATATATAGGACCACAAAGATTTCAAATTAACTTAGAATATGAGCACTTAAATAAGTAGGTGATTTGCAAGAAGGCACGGGATTATGGTCCGTTTCCCTTTTAGGATGTTGTTGAGGGGCTTGCTTGCAGAACCATTTTTCAGCCTTTTTCTTAGGTTTTTCTTAAAAGAATTTTTCATTAGTTAGGTTCTTATGGGTCTTTAGTCGTTAATCTCTGGGTGCAGGTGCTCTTTTTCCCCTTTCTAGGTTTTTTTTTTGGATTTTACTAAAATGGTTTTTCTGAGGCCTATTATAGTTGATTTTCAAAAGTGGCGTCCCGGTTTAGCCTTTCGGTGCCAGTTTATTGTTTGAGATTTTTTTTTTTTGTTTTTTTTTTGGGTTTTACTAAAATGGTTTTTCTGAGGCCTATTATAGTTGATTTTCAAAAGTGGCGTCCCGGTTTAGCCTTTTGGTGCCAGTTTATTGTTTGGGATTTTTTTTTTTAGTTGTCACGCTGTATTTCTCCCCCGTTTAGAACTTATGATGTTTTTTTCTTATTTTCATTAATAAGAATTTGAAGTAGGTGCTTAACAGGAGACAAGATTTTTAAGACGTTCCAACCTAGTTGGGATATTCTGATCTTCCTTGATGCTACTTGCTCCTTCTCACCATTTATTAAAAAAAAAGAAAAAGTGTGATATAATTAACTCTTATGATTTTTTTGGCTAACGAAAAGAATTACTCTTTTGATTTGGTTACCTGTGTTTGTTGGTCAAATTAGTTTCAATTCAAATTATAAATTGAACTAATGTTTTAGGCACAAGCTAAACTTGAGTTTGGTGGTTCCAATCCGGTACTCGACAAACATGAACCTGAATCAGCTGTTCCAAATTCGGTATTTGTCAAAGCTTCACGTTTTGGATCTATTTGCTATAAATTCATAAGGCCCTACGCAATGATTCAAGTAATTATAGCATCCATGTAAGTAATACAAGAAACTGATTTGCAATACAAGACATAGACTTCTTTCTCAAATCAAGTAGGACATGCTAAACCTTATATGTTCTCTCTTTCTCTCTCTCCCTCTCTCTCTCTCTCTCTCTTTTGCAGCTGTTTGTTTGCGAGAGTTTTGGTCGAGAATCCACAATTGTTTAAATGGTCTCTGTTGTTTAAGGCAATCCCTGGCCTAATTGCTATAATACATGCACATGTTTATAATTTTGGCATTAATCAGATTTTTGATGCCGATATTGACAGGTATACTCCTTTTATATATATATATCCACATATGCTGACGATTATATTAGAAACCAATTATAATCAAAGTGCTATTTCTTTTTTTCAAAATTAGTACCTGCAAAAGATGTCTTAATATACTTTTATTTGTTCTATTTTATTTTTCAGAACTGGTCGCAAAGAACCTTTTAGCTTATTTGTTTTTATGCGTTATGTTTTCAGGATAAACAAACCTTATTTGCCCATACCTTCAGGAGATCTTTCACTAAAACAAGCTTGGTTTTTGATGATATTTTCTGTACTTAGTGGCCTATTGATTTTGCGAGTGATGAATGCCGACCTAATCACTACTTCTTTCTATTGCTTTGGTATTTTATTGGCTACCTTGTATAATGCCCCTCCGTTTCGATTCAAGGGATCTCCAGTCGCCACAATTATTACGATTCCATTGGTATTTTCATTTTCTTTCAATTCTCTGATTCTTGCAATGAAATTTTGCTTCTAATTTATTAATTTTATTAGGTCGTTGGAAATTTTGTTTCTAAAATGCATTTATATTCAATTTCAAAAATTAAATTTGGGATCAATTAGAATGTAAGATTTCATCTCATTAATTCTGTTTATGACTACAGGACACCTTGTGAGTCCGAAATCGAGAAGCATGAAATTGCTTATCGTGCTGTGTTGTGCTAGCATATAGAACAACTACAAGATACTTTTTGAAGTCATTCTTTTTCTATGTTTTATTTATGGCATATTAAATTCTTTCTTTTGCTATAATATATTTTGCACAGTATATGAAAACACAGTGCTGTTTGTTTATTATATATCTTTCTTGCGGGGAAAAATGATAATTTGTATAACAAAATCAAGTCTCATGCAGACTACTATCATTAACAATATTGGTGTACTTTACGCCACCATGACTTCCCTTAGACTTCCATTCTGGTGGAGGTACGTTGAACAATAATTTTTTATTTTTTTTTTGCAGCTTATGGTTTCATTCTTCTCTTTTCTCGTATCCTTGAACTCTCGCCCCCCCAAAAAAAAAAACGTTTCAAATATATGTTACTTTCATCTCCATAAATATCCATAATTGATAACTTAGAATATACATAATAATTCATATATTTATATATATATATATATGCACACACACACACACACACACATATATATATATATATAGTTTAAGTAGTTGCATGCGTTTTGAGGGACAATACTACGTTTAATCAATTCAGCCACATCAAACACTTTTTGTTGGTAGCTGGCTTGAAAATTATATAATTTGGAATACAGTTAAAATTCCACTTCCAATTTTCATTATAATATATAAGGTTATTTTAATATTTATCTATCAATAAATATAATAAGTTATTAATCTGACGATGATAATAAATTGAGTGGTTCATCAGAAAAAATTGATCATATCTAGTAGAGAATTTGATTCTTATCAAGTCACGTCATTAAATTTTTATATTTAATAAGTAACCACTATAAAAACATAAAAACATAACTATTGAAAACTTGTCTATGTATATAGATGTATATGTTTGTGTGTGTATATTAACGTAAAAGATCAGAGGACAACTGGTCTCTTAATTATATATGTATTGTGTTTTTTATATTAAAATAAAATTTCTTTTAAAATAATTTGTAGTAGTTGGGTATAATGTATATATAATTTATTGGTTTTTATTCTGTTAAATCTCAAGATATTGTTGCGTAATATTGGAGATGTCGTATGACAGGCTTTTTTGTTTTTGTTTTTTTGGTAAGATGTCCTGTGACAGGCTTGGTAATGAGTGAGATTTCTTAGTAGACGTTTGGTTTATAGATTCAGAATTATTTTTATTTTATGTGTATTTTTTGTGAGAGAAAAACACTATAGAAAATAATGAATCATGATTCAAAATCAATGACGAATATAGGAAATAAATATCCCCTTAATTATAACAGTGGCATTTGACGGTCAACAAGAAATGATCTCATAGAAATTAGCCTTCAACATTTTCTTTATAGAAAACTAAAATAATTAATTCCATTGATTATGCAATTTTATATTACTATAAACCTACTACTTTTGCTATTTCATGAGCTAATGCATACACATATGAATTCAACATTTATAGAAATCTCATGTTTGCCTCTCATTTTCGTCTACAGTCCTCAAATTATTTTCATCACTATCTTTGGTACATTATTTTTCGCGGTCACTTGCATCATAAAAGATATCTCGGATGTGGAAGGTGACATGAAGTAAGTTTCATATATATGGGGCATATTCTAACGAACTTTAATTCTCAAAGTTTATATATATATATATATATATGACACTTTTTAATCCAAAAAGTGTTATAGCTTGAATATGTATTATCTTTTAAAATAATATTCAACATTATAGGCATAACATTCGAACATTCGCGGCAACATTCGGATCTAAAAATATGGCATTACTTGGCATGGGAATTTTATTAGTAAACTATATTGGTGCTATTGGAGTTGCTATCTTTATGCCTCAGGTAATTTTAATTCTTCGTCTTCAAAGACACATAGTTTTTTTAATTTTTTTTTTTTTTAGATATTTGCATAAGGATCCTAATTTATTAAAGATGCCTCCATTTGTTTCTCTGTTTATTTTTGTAACTCACTGATTTATCAAGGTAAGTTATCTGTCATTCAAGCAATTGATCAATTTAGTCTTTATAAATCTGTTAAAGTGATGAAGTAACCAGAATACCAGTTGTTAGGACAAAACACACCTCTATACTCACCTAGTAGAAAAATAAACTAAAACAAAAATAACTAAAAAAAGATAAGACAAAGATTTAAGTGGTTAGAAAAAATTTCCTGCGTCCACGAGAGAGGAAGAAAAATACACTAACAATTTCAGAATTACACACTCAGCAAACTCTCTCACTTTTTCTCTCTACCCAAAACCCTTTACACACGCTTTGTCTATCTCTCTTCTCACTTTTCTCTCTTTCTCTTAAAAGTACACACTCTTTACTCAAAAACATAAAATTGTTAATTTCTTAAAATTAATTTGAGTCACTTATCCAACAGTAAATCACTAACAATCTATGCAAAAATAATAATAAAAAAAAGACATAAAAAAATAAAAATGAATATTTATATGCATTAAAAAATTTAGAATTTATGGAAGTCTTTTTCTTTTCCCCTTTGCTAGTATTATTTATGTGAAGCTAAGAATTGAACAATAAGTTTATGTTTTTTCATCTACTATTTACAGGCTTTCAAACGTCGTGTGATGTTGTCTGCTCACTCAATCTCTGCATTGTGGTTACTTTTTCAGGTTTGTCATATATACATAAATCACGCAAAAATAAAATACAAATAAAACTCTCATACATCTTTAATTTCTTATTTTCTTTCAGGCCAAAAAGTTGGACAAAGCAAATTATGGCAAGGTACTTAATTGCATATAAATATACATTTCGACTCAAATACATGTTCTCTTAGTGAGTAGTAAACTATTTGTATTGATCCAACTTTAATTTGATTATGTCTGCAGGAAGCGAGTGCAAATTTTTATCAATTTATTTGGAAGCTTCTAACATTAGAATTTCTCTTATTTCCTTTTATATAGTAAATTAGTTGCAAGCTTATTGTATGTTTTTCCACATCAACCATGGTCTGGTTGGGGAATAAAGTGATTTATTTATTATATTATTAAGATGTTATCGTCTTTTTATTTTTTTTAGCATAGGCAGTCAAAACAGATGTGTGTGTGTATATATATATATATATATATATATATGTGTGGGTGTGTGTGTGTGTCTGTGTAAATACACTTGTAAATCTCATAAATTTACTAAGTGAAGAGGTAAGTAAAGACACAATACTAGAGATAATATTGATCTTACCAAGGCAAAATATGCTTGGGTAATATCACACATAAGCGTTGGGAAAATTCTTCTCTTACGACCATAGTTAAAGAACATATTAAGTGGTACTTTAGATGTTGTTCATAACGTGGCAATTCGTGTTGGCAGGTCGTGTTCGTATTGTGTTGACCTCCTCAGCTGACACGGTTAGGCCTGATACGAACACGACTCGTTTATTATTCGTGTCGAAATACAAAACCCAAACACGACCTGTATATTGACGGGTTGGCACGACACAACATGACTAACCTGCTTATTAAACAGGTCGTAAACGTGTCATGTCAACCTGTTGATTACTTGCCAACCTGTTTATAAAATGGGTGATAAATGAGTCATGTTAACCTATTTCTGAACCTATTTTTGAACATGTTTATAAAATGGGTGATAAACGGGCCATGTTAACATATTTCTGAACCAATTTTTGAACCTATTTATAAAATGGGTGATAAAATATGTTTCTCAACTTGTTTGTACTTAAAGATTTGTTTTTCAACCTATTTAACATGCTGAAGAGACATTAAATAATCTAAGTTCAAAAGTAAAACAAACACATAAAACTCTCCCATAAATTAGAAAACAAACATACATGATTAATCATTAAACAGTTAAATAATTTGTTGTAGTGGGGGGAGTCCCATCATCAGGTACAACAGAAGTTGATCCCTGTGAGAAAGGTTCCTCATCTTTCAATGAAAAGTTAAAGATGTCTTGTGTGAGATCCTCCACCTCTTCATTGAAATCTACACGAAAAAATATATTTATACATACAAGTTAGTTCAAAATCAAGTTAGAAAATATGAATAAATTATATTAGTTTGAAATCACCTTTGTCATCATATAACGAATCTCGGGTACAATCAAGTGACTCTAAACTTTTGAGTTCAGCTTTCTCTTTCTTTTTAGGAGTTGCTCGCCTTGAGTTTCGGTATTAAAACTTGATCCATCAATCTCTTCAATATCAACGTCCACACTTTGAGATTCAATGGACTCAAGACCAATTTTCATTGTGTTAAATTAACCTACAGAAAAGAAAACATTAGTTCAATAGTTCAATAGCTTATGCTTGGCACTTTAACTTTGTCCACACGAGAGGTTCAAAGGTTACGGAATGAGGTACATTTTTGTGGAGCTTAGTATTCTGATTGTGTATTGTTATGAACAACTTGTTTATTGCATAACTACCAAAAACTTGTTTAGTGCATAACTACCAAAAACTTGTTTATTGCATAACTACCAAAGACTTGTTTATTGCATAATTTTTGTTTTGGGTTTGCATTTTACTGCTCTCCCGCTTTTTTTCCCTCATGCAATCATTGACTTATTCATTTTGGTACTTCTGAAACTTTTGTTCTTTATTCTTTTAGAATCTTGTTCCAAGCTATGAATCTATGATAGTAGTCTGCTACACTATAATGGTTCAAGTAACTAGACATTTAATAGTTAACATGGTGGGGATGCGGTTTATAGGTCCGGAAGAAAACATTTATAATTTTTAGTTTTGAAGTATACGTGTTATGTTATGTTACTAGTAGGTTCTAGCAAAAATCCCAAATGTAATAAAAAATATCTTAATTTGTATACAACGAGGAAGAAGGCATACGTCAAAATGTGGAAATCATGTTTACTAGCTTCGAAATTTAACTACAGAAATATGCAAAGTCAATTATTTAAATTTACTAGCCATCCATTAATTTATACAAATGATAAGATTTTTTATATTTTTCCTCGGTCATTATTCTTATCTTAATTTGTATACAACGTGTAAGAAGGCGTCAAAATGTTGAATTGTTTACTGGCTTCGAATACTACAGAATATATGCACAATCAATTGTTTTAAATTTACTAGCCATTCATTATTTTATGCAAATGATTAGATTTTTATATATTTTAATTTCTTCGGTCATTATTCTTATCTTAATTTGTATACAACGAGTAAGAAGGCGCCAAAATATTGAATTGTTTACTAGCTTCGAATACTACAGAATATATGCACAGTCAATTGATTTAAATTTACTAGCCATCCCAATTCTTTGAAAAAACAATAATAAAAAAACGAAAATCCTTTTTCTTTTTTGACGATCCACTCTGCAGTACTTTTTTCTCAATATTTATATTATGCGTGCTAGTTGATTACTAAAACCAAAAGAATTTCCATATACAGTCATAGTTAAAGCCGCCAACAGCGACCAGACGTCATGATCATGTTGCAAGAAGGAAACTAATTTTATATGCTATGTGGAAAAGAAAATTTCGTAGAAAATGCAGGACAATTAGTAGACTTGTCGAAGAATGGAATTAGTCTGTCGCCAGAAATTTATTTCGTTTCAAGACAAACACATGTGAAAGAATGGAATTAGTCTGTCGCCAGAAATTTATTTCGTTCGTTTCTAGACAAACACATGTGAAAGAATGGAATTAGTCTGTCGCCAGAAATTTATTTCGTTTCTAGACAAACACATGTGAAAGAATGGAAATAATCTCTCTTGCCGGGAAGTTTTTTTAGGCAGGGTGTAAACTGAGAAGGGCGTGAAGGAAGGGAATTGAATAGAACATTGAGACTTTTATACATGTTTGATTAGATTAGATTAAATTAGATAGACTTGATGTTAGATTAGATAAGATTATATATATTTTTTTCCCATGTTTTTTTTATGACTATTTGACATTTGCTTTCCTTAAAATTTGATCATACTGCTTTTGCATATTATGTGCTGCTTCGTATGTTTAAGTACTCTTATCTCTTCCATTGTAAAGGTGTTTAGATGACTTTTCCGCTATTGGCATGCTGTAATCACAGAAGAATATTATTAACTGTATCATTGACAAGTAGACATGGCATGATCCTATAAATATCGAAGTGCTTGCAAAATTTGTTGTTAACACTTTTCATTCGCTTTTGTCCATTTTTGCATGGTTGTTTTAGTTAACAATATTCATATGGAGCTCACAATCTCTCACTTTTCCCTTAGAGTACCAACTATTAATATCTCTCAGCATAGCAAGGCTTCCTATCATGTCAATACGTTGACACCAATTAAGGCCACAATCAAAGATACCAAATCTTCAACCTTTCCTATATTAATCAAATATTGTTTGCTTACATTTACTTCATCTATAATGAAGTGAATGCGGTATGATCCCTTGAACAATTTTAATGTTGGGGATATGGGACAAAAATAGACACATACATATATATTAAAAAAAGACCACTACTGACGGTATTATGCCTCTCATGGCCCTACCGAATATGGTTTTGGGTATAGGTAGACACTCTGAAAATAGTAGGTGACGTAAACATGAACGAGTTTTTTTTCTGTTTCACATGCGATTCTAATAAGGGGGGGAAAATAAGGCCCCGTTTATTTCGCCGATTCGAGTTTAGAATTCGAGTTTTGCTACAGTAAAAAACTCTCACAAATAATCACATTTAACTTTTTTGCTACAGTAAAAAGCTCTCACATAAAATCACATCTCAACTCGAATTAAAAACTCGAATCAGCGAACTAAACGGACCCACGTGTCTTTTCATCAAGATAAATTGATAGAGGTAATTCAGAAGTGTCACATCAGAGACAGTGTTACGGTTCATTTCCTTTGAGGGTGTTGTCAAGGGCTTTCTTGCAGAACTATTTCAGTGTTTTTACTAGTTCATTTCTTTTTTGATTGAAACGCAAATTTATTAGTTTATGTGTACTATACTTGTGATCTTATTATCAATATTATTAGTTCGTCAAATCAGTTTTTTTCGATTCATCTAATAAAGTGAACTGATGATTTTAGGCATCCGCTAAAGATGAATTTGCTGGGTCGGATTCAGGATTTGGCAAAGCTCAACCTGCATCAGCTAATTCAATTTCTGTTGTCGCAAAGGTTTTACATTTTGGATCTACTTGCTATAAATTCGTAAGGCCTTATGCAATGATTCAAGTAATTGTATCGTCCGTGTAAGTACACTTTTACAGAAAATCAACGATAGAGCGAAAAAAAAATATTGCAATATAAGAAATTAACTTATTTTTCTTTTAGTTCCAATTGCGTATGATGAGAGTTTACATAACTCTATAAGTTCTTGTTTTTGGCAGCTCTTTCTTTGCAAGAGTGTTGGCAGAGAACCCACAATTGTTTAAATGCTCTCTATTGTTAAAGGCATTCCCAGGCCTAATTGCTATGATTCTTGCGCACGTTTATTCTAATGGCATTAATCAGATTTTCGATGCTGATATCGATAGGTATGCTTTTTCTTTTATTTATATCAACACATCTTGACGTTTATATATTAAACAATCTGTTAAAATTAAACAGCAAATCTAAAGCAAATTAAATAATCATAAAACAAATCGCACTAATAATGGTTCCCAATATTTACCCATATTTGCAGGGTATGTATCCTACCATGTATACCAGCCTTAGAATTCTTGGTTAAAACTTTTCTTTTCTTTTGGTTAAAAGTTGTATAGACTTGGTTTTTGTTATTTCTGTTCATGGCGTTCATCTCCACGAATTTAATAACAATTAGTATCAATTTCGTATACTTTTTAAAATATATATATATACATATAGTGCATGCTTAATACTTAATTTTATTTGTTTTATTTTTTTCCCTGAATTGGTGACAAGAAACTTTTTAGCTTATTCTGCTTTTATGTCTGATATTTTCAGGGTGAACAAACCTTATTTACCTATACCTGCAGGGGAATTCTCATTAAAACAAGCATGGTTACTTATGATATTCTCTGTGCTTGCTGGTCAATTGATTTTGTGGGTGATGAAGGCCGATCCAATCACTTCTTCTCTATACTGGTTGGGTTATATATTGTCCACTATGTACTCTGCACCTCCGTTTAGATTCAAAGAATCTTCTGTTGCAACAACTATTTTGATTCCTTCGGTACTATTATTTTCTTTCATTCCTTTGAATATTGCAGTATAATTTTTTCTTGATATTTATAAATTCATAAGATCGTTTGAAATATAATGGTCCTATGAAATTTAGAAATTGCATGTAAGTATATATGATTTTATCACATTAAATTTTCTTTATGATCACATGACACCTTGTGAGTCAGAATTTTCGAGTATATCATTCTAGAATCATGAAATTGACTGCCATGCTAGCATATAGAACTAGTATATATACTTTGTGAAGTTAATGTTTTTCTGATTTCTATTTAGAGCATCTGAAATTCTCTCTTTGCCACTTGCGCGCAGTAGGGAAAAATATAGCGGTCCTAGTTTATTATGAATAAATCTTTTTTTGAGGGAAAAAATAATTTGTATAATAAAAGCACCTTAATTATGCAGCAAACTATCATTAACAATGTTGGTGTAATTTACACCACCATGGCTTCTCTTGGACTTCCATTCCGATTGAGGTACGTACATCACATATTTTTAAAATTTTCTATATTTTTGTCATGTTCTTTCTCCTTCAAATTAATTTAGTATATTATCTTACCAATTTATAAATCGTTAATCTTATAAAGATAAGATCATGCCATGATGGAGCCATAAAATTTTGTCCTTTATTCAAATATAATGTGATGGGCTCATGTTTTGATAATTTACTCAATCAATATATTAGTTTTCGCTTTTCTCAGAAATTCTTGTTGATTTGTTGTGGGATTTGTTTCGCCTTATGTTTCTATTTTTTCTCTTTTGAATTGTCCTTGAACACTTTGTAATTTTTTTTCACTAATGTTTAAAGGCCCGGAGCTTTGGGTAAAATGAGTTTCTGGATTGATCAATCTGTCTCCCTCTAAATGGTTGTTCGCAAGACCTTTTAGAAACTAGTCGGGTTTTGAATATGATATGAATGTGCATTATATATATATATATATGTATGTATGTATTTCTGAGAACTATGAATAGACAGATATAATAACTAATAGCCAAGCTAGAATGCATATAATCTAAATTCATTTATAGCTTACGTAGTTGTGTTTTTTTTCTTTTTTTTTAGAAACCTTATGTTTTGCTTTCAATTTGTTCTGCAGCCCCGCATTTGTTTTCATCCTTACCTTTAATACATTATTTTTCGTGGTTAATGTCATCATAAAAGATATTGAAGACGTTGAAGGGGACATGAAGTAAGTTTTCTATTCTATTTGTTTCATTGTACTTAACGAACTTAAAATGTCAATATTTTTTAATTGGTTAGCTTTTAATTTTGGAATGTATTTTAACTTGTATATATATATTCCAATCTTTTGAACAATGTTGAAACATTTTAGGCATAATATTCGAACATTTGCGGCAATATTCGGACCTAAGAATATAGTACTTCTTGGCACGGGAATTTTGTTGGTAAATTATATTGGTGCTATAGCAGCTGCCATTTTCATGCCTCAGGTAATTTTACTTTTTCATCGTTAAACTTTAAAGCTTAAAGATTAACTATATAGTTATTATTATTATTATTATCATTTTTTGGTACGCAACTTTCATAAATATCCTAATTAAATTTATAAGTTTTTTCCTTTGTTTTTCTATATATGTCTTGCAACTCATGATTTATTAGTTAGTATTGAACGCTCAAGTAAAGTAACTCAATGTTTTTCCATTCAAAATTTTTAAGTAGTTTTTGCTTCAACTCGTGCTTAATAATTTCTTTAATTTATTGTTTACAGGCTTTTAAGCGTCACGTAATGTTACCTGCTCATTTAATTCCTGCCTTGCAGTTACTTTTTCAGGTTTGTCTTACATATATAAATCGAGCAAAAACAAATTACATGTGAAAACTCTCTTACAACTTCTTTTCTTGTTTACTGTTAGGCCAAAATGTTGGATAAAGAAAATTATGCGAAGGTAACTATTTATAAATATATACTTCGACTCTAAATACATGTTGTCCCAGTAAGTAATGAACTATTTTTTATTGATCACAAATTTAATTTTACTGTATATGCAGGAAGCAAGCGCAAAATTTTATAAATTCCTTTGGAGGCTTCTTACATTAGAATTTCTCTCACTTCCTTTCATGTAGCACATTAATAGCAAGTTAGTCGTATGTTTTTCCTATATTGTGAGTTGTGTGTAATGCAGTTAAGATATTATTGTTTTCTATCTTTTCTGAATAAAAAGAGTCAAAACATATATTAATTGTAAATCTCATTAAATACAACGATTGATATAACAATCAATCTATTATTACAAACAGTAATTAAGGTAAATTTTTTTTTACCGAATAGTACTAGCAGTATTGGCTACATTTGGCTAACTATTATGTGTTATGTGTCTTTATTATGATTGAAGATATCCCGCTATGTATTGGGGATCTGGTAAAAACTGATTCTTTACTTATTTAAATAAAAATCAGTCCATTATTCCTTTTAAAAACAAGGACCTAAATATGTATTGTAACAATTTAGTAAGGATACAGTTATAATTTTTCTTATATACTGAGGCACAGCAAGCTGAAATTTACGACTTAAGATCAATTTAGCAAAATTTAGTGGTAGTGGCTTACCAATAGGAATAGCTACAACAAATAATTAAAATAAATAATTATTAAATCTTACGATTATTCTCGGCAGATCATGCCCCAAGATATTGTTACATAATAACTTTACCATTGGGTTATTGAATATGTACTTTTCTATATACATAAGCAAATTGTGTTCATCCATTAGTTTTCAATTCGATTTTTTATCAACAATTGAGAGGGAAAAATTATTTACCTATACTTATTTACCTTTCATTCAAAGTAATACTTTTTAATTATTGAGGGAATAAAATAAATTTTTTCATTTGTTGTTTCAACCATCCGAATTGTTGTTTAAGATTCAAACCGTAGTTCAGGATTTAAATTGATGATTGTTAGAAGATAATTTAAGGACAATTCAAACCATTAACAATGGTTCAAACCCTTAGATTTTAAAATTCATTGCCACCCTTAAATTCTAACAATCTTAATTGTGTTTTACAGTGAAAACATTTTTTATTCTTCTTTTTTCTCTCTTCAATTAATTTCAAGCTTAAAAATATCATAACTTTTTTGTTTTAATTCCGATTGAGATAATTTTTTTAATATGTTCATAATAAAGAGATGAACAAAACCCCATCCATATTACATATTTTTAGATGTAATTAAAAATAAGATTTAATAAGATTTGTTATGAGACTCTAATAACAGTTTTCAACACTTTATTCATACAGAATTCGAATTTTATTCTCAATTCAAATTATAATTTATTTACATATCTAAATATCGGTTAGAATCACAATTCAATGTACCATAATTTAAATCATCACAATTCAAACCGAATCAATAATTTGAATCGTTAAACCAAACAAGGCCTATTGAAGTAGCAATAATAAACCAAAGGGCAACAACGTTCTAGCTTACGGACTCTTTTAGTAGAGATTTTGTTTTTGCTTTACCTGACGTGGCTTTCACACCTCCAAGTCTGTTAGTTTTAAACAGCAGATACAGAAAACTTCATATTCATGATGTCACTTTACCATTTCCTAAATGAACCAGCCATGGAAACCCGCCTCTATCTCTTCCTCTTACTCTCTACCTTCAACTCCGCCGCTTAATCCGTCGACGTCAACTACGGGACTTCATCGACAACCTCCTCCCGCTAACCCCTATCGCCACCCACGTCAAGACCTAAAACCACCATTGTTGACAATCTCCCCAAGACCCGAATCTCCGTCATCGTCGCCGTCACTGTCAGAAACGGCGATATTTTGTGCGTCACCAAGCACCCCACCACCCAGTCCTAGGTGGCCAACAACATCCTACACCTTTTACCCCAAAGCCATGTCTCCGATGACGGCCTCATCGTCGCCACTCCTAGACGAGCGAGCTCGTACTCAGGCGAGAAGAAGACCAATTCAACCCATATGCCACAAAGTTTTAGAAGCGGATCGCCGTTGTGTTTTTAATATCCATTAAGAAAGTAATCATAAAAAGATTGTAGACATATAAGATGAAAAGACATGTAATGTTTGATAAAATAATATAAAAAAAAACTGATCAATTTTTTCCCTATGGCCGTTTACCCTCTCCGTTAACCTCAATTAATTATAATTCATGTGTAAAATTTTTGGTAAGGTGTTGAAATCTCATTTAAGGGACAGCCACAACGGACAGCAAATGTGGACTCCTGAAGTGTGTTCTTTCCTTGATTTCTTATTTTTTGTTGGTCTTGTATTACATATTTAATTGTTGAGTTCTTGTATCTTTGAAGTTGGAGACTTGGAGCCTACTTTGGAATTGGTAATAAACGGTTAGCTCGGCTCGATGATGTTATCTCTCGTTATTGAATGCAATGCAATGGTTCGTCAGTGAGCGAGAATACTTTTTGGGTGCAGAAGAGGTAGTTTCCTCATCGTTTGATTTGCTTGCGTGTTAGAACTTCTGAGAATTGAAAACTATGTTATAAAGTTCCCGGTTTTTTTTTTTTTTTTTTTTCCTTCTTTTTGTCTTTAATGCATGTATATTTTTCTTACCTTCTCGGTGAGGTTCGTCATAATATGGCACATTTGTACACCATGGCTCGATAACAAACACAAGGTGCAAATTAGGATTTTATGAGTATATATGTTTGAATCTTGTTGTTATGAGTATATGTTTTATATTATTCTTTCTCAATTTGCTGCTGTCTGTGTCTTCCAGATGATTTTTTCTCATTTTGTTGCTGATAGCAGGCCAGCATGCATATCTTTCTTATTCACGTTTTCTTTCTTTCTAAATCGTATTCAAAGTTTGGTTGTGCTCTTTTTATATGTATTTCTAATTATTTTCTTTAATTTGTGTATTAAATAGCAGATATATATATATATATAGTTGCAATCCAACATATAGAGCATGAATATCTTATCAGTTTGTACCTTTGTGTATCTGAATCATACGAGATTTTATTATCATTACTTAAGTTATTTTAAAAAAGGATGATTGGTTTATTTCCAAGATTCAAACAATAGGACCGCTTAATTTTTGCATTGTGAAAGAGATGGAACTCCGTTTCTCTATTGTTAATGGCATTTTTAAATAGGTCTAATTACGTTTTTATACTACCACTTTGTCAATTTATCCGAATAATGTTTTTGAAAAATTTTTCTTGTCTTTTTTGATCTAAAATAGAAAGAAAGGATAAAACTACCGTTACATAATATATGAAAGACATTTTAAGCATGTAGAAAATATTCATACTATTCAAACAAAGCATGATTTCTTTTTGAGAAAAAAGAGCTTTTGGTACCTTGTAAAAAGGAATTCGAATTAAAACTGCACTGCGCAATTAGTTTGTGTCAAAAATAGATAATGATGAATGAGATTATGATGGATTCATCTGTGATTTCAAATTTTTTTTCCTTCTTTTGTAACGTCTTTCTCAGTCCTGTTCTTTGTCATTTTGATATCAATGCTCTGTCTCTTCTATGCCCCAAATTCAAGATTACCCTATAAATTAATTTATTTGATTAGAGCTCAAATTTAATGATTTCATTGTACATGATTTCCATTTTTTTCTTTTTTTCCCCTTTAAGTACACTGGTTGTTAATGCTCAAATTTACTCAACAACTGGGAATAGATAGGCAGCACAACTGTATGGTGGAAATATCTGTATACACAAGTTGATATACCCAAGAGTGCACAACATATGTATGTAATGTAATTAGTGCTTGCAATAATCAAACCTGAGCTATATTATTAATATGCTCAAGTTTCTTTTAAACAAATTTTTCTACTATTTGTGTGACTCTTTCTTATTTGTTGATACTACTAATTTCGTGTCTTGGACACTGCTTTTTTATTTATTTTAGTAGTATTTTGATTATCAAGTAATCAACCTGTCTTTATTTTTTGTTTTTGTTTTTCATCTTTATTGCAGATTGACTTTTTACTTGATTACATCTTTGAGATTGGATACACAAAAGGAACTTTGGGATTGATAGTACATATGTATTAATATTTTGATTATCACACTTTGGATAGTACATGATATAATCTAATATTTTGAGACCTTGAAATGCATGCATTAATAATATCTGTGAATATTTTGACACATCATGCAATTGCAAAATTTTTTCTTAGAATCAAAAGAAGTATGGGAAACTATGAGTCTTTCTTCTTAGAATCAAAGAACTATGAGAAACTATTGAGCAGACTCGCCCCAATAGAACCAAATATATATTCAATCAGGGTTAGTATAGGAAGCTTATCCAATTTAAGTTTTAGTCCTACACAGCAATTCATTTTTACCTCTCAAACCTTACAAAAGGTGGAAAAAAGCATAACAAGCAGCATGGAAGAGCCCCAGACTAGTAGCAAAAGAAAAGTGAAGCCATATGTACTTTCTAAATGAGTACTTAAACCACATTTTTTAAGATATATATATATATTAATAGGTCAAAATGATTTAATTACTCTATTATAAGCAATAAATTTGCTTTTGCTTCAAATTAATTTGAAATTTTCCCTAGAAGAAATAGGAGATTACACAGACACCTATATAATGACGTTTTAACAAAAATTATCGTTAAATGTGCTAAAAAAACACTTCACCAATACTTCTAAATTGGCACACAAAAGATGATAGTTTTTTGAAAATCATCGTTTAATATAGCACATTAGACAACAATTTTTTAGCACAAAGAGGACGGTTTTTAAAAAACCGTCCTCTAATATAGCACATCAGACGACAGTTTTTAAAAACCCATCGTCTAATGTTAAAAAATTTTGAGAGAAAGGCGGGCTTTTTCCCGCTCATTCTTTTTCTAAAAGTTTTGAAAGTTTTTATATCTCTTTTATGACTTCGAGTACTCTCCTATAAACTCTGAATTTTTCTCTTAAATTCCCCCATCTGATCTTTTAAGTTCTCTCTCTCCCTCAAAACTTACAAGTTTTTGTTTCAAAACTCATCTATTCTAGACTACTCTGCTAATATACACTCCTCCCTTTCTCAAACCGCCACGTCCGCAGCTATGCCCACACATTGTCAATCGTCATGACCTCGCCACCAAATCCGCCCCCACATCTTGATATTTTTGTTGGCCGCCGTAACCTGATACTCTCATAAGAACTCTGAATTTGTTCCGATTTATAGTTTTCTTTGTGTGTAAGTA